ATCAAAAGCTGTGGTCTGTTTAAACAATGGAATACTACGTGGCAGTAAAAGAAGGAATTCTTCCCCTTTGCGACAGCAGGGATGGAACTGGAGAGCATTATGCTAATGAAATAAGCCAGTCACATAAAAACAAATACCATACGATGTCACTCATATGTGCAATGTAAGGAACAAAATAAACTGATGAACAAAATAGAGACTCATAGATACAGAGAACAGACTTGACGGCTCTGGGCGGGCAGCGGGGTGAAAAAGGCTGAAGGGATTAAACAGAAAGTAAAAAGAAAAACTCAAACAGAGACAATTGCAGGGCAATTGATTACCAGAGGGAAAGAGGGGTGGGGGAAGGTAGAAGATGATAAAAGGGGGACACATATTTTGGGGTGATGAACGCACAATGCAAGATACAGATGATGCATTATAAATTGTACACCTGAAACCTATATAATGTTATTAATAAATGTCACCCCAACAGTCAATAAAAAACATGTGAAATAGAAAAAATAGTAAAAATGTTACAAATTACTGCATTATATTTAAATTATTTGTTAAAATGCTCTAAATTTAGTAAAGCACTTGAACTACGTACTTTTGTATGGTACATTCTAAACTATAGGCAAAGTTTATTTAATCTTATATATATTTTATATATATAATCTATATAATTCAGAGTATATATTTAATCTGAAACTGCTATAAACAACAATAAAACTGTAGATTCTTCCTCCTTCTTTCCTTTGAACTAAGAGTTTGTACTTAATAATGGAGTGTAAAGTGAGTAAAGTCGGTTTAGCAATAAACTTTAGAAAAGCACATTATTTCTGCCCTGTAAGAAGGTAAGGAACAACAACAGATATCTTACAATGTAACACCCAGAGAAATTTCATTTGTAGATGAGAACACAATATTCACATTCAAATATTTCCCTCGCAAAAATCAGAAAAGTATATTTAAGGTATTTAGTAAGCACATAGTAAGTGTCCACAAAAGGGCCTTATCATTGTAATGTTGTTTTACTGTGGTGATCTTTCTAAAATCATCTCCTGCCGCTGTCCCCATGGAGAACTCGACTGTGGAAATATAACACGCGCACATCTCAGGACTTTTGAAATTGCAGTTCTGTCTTTCTGGAAAGTTCTCCCTGTAAGTACCCACAGGGCTGACTTCCTACCCTATGAGAAAGAATGTTTACAATAAGTTTCTCTGTTTAAGATCTAGGGTTTCCCTGATGCATCAATATTCTCCAGACTACTCCGTATCACAGATGGACTGGTGTGGAGGATGGAGAAGCACAATACTTTTGGCCCTGCCTAGCTCGTTTGGTTAAGAAAGCAAACACGCCCAAGGGAACGGGCCTCTGCACCTGGGGAGCGTGGTTTGCTCGCTGAAGAGCCAGACCCCCCAGGACAAAATGGTCCCGTGGTTACTAAATGGCTGCAAGGTCATCTCCGTGGCCCCAGAGGTGGCACGTGCTCTTAAACTTGCTATAATGAACAACAGCTCAAGGTATATTTGCGAGGTCACCGGTTAAGGATGTTTTGGACATCAATCAACGGACTGCGTCAGGGCATACGTGACATTAATTTGAAAGGAAAAAGATGTGTGTTGGTGGCACGGCAGTAACGACTTGTCACTTGCTGCCAGTTCTTGGGTGGGACATCCTTCTGGCTTTCTCCTTCATTTCATTTAGATCTCTGCTCAGATGGTGTCTCCTTCCAAAGCCCTCAACTCCCTTCTGTTTTTTCTTCATACTACTACTTATGACCACTTCACTGGAATATTTTGGTTTGTTTATTTATTTATTTAAATTTGTATTCATGTGAGGAGAGAGAGGAAAAAAAACCCGCCTATTTGTTGCTCCATTTAGTGATGCCTTCATTGGTTGATTCTTACATATGCCCTGACTGGAGATCGAACCTGCAACCTTGGCATATTGGGACCATGTGCTAATTAATCGAGTTCCCTGGCCAGGGCTGGTTTATTTTTTATGCCTCTTTCTCCCCATTAGAATGTATACTCTATGAAAGCATATTCTGTCTTGACTGTGTATTATCCCCAGCATTTAGACGTCTGCTTGACACACAATTGGTGTTTAGTATTAGTAATGAATTATTAATGAATTCTAAATGTTATTCGTCCACTCCCTCCTTCTTTGGCATATCAAAATATGTGATGACAGTTGCTTTTTTTTTTTCCCCTGGCAAGCATCACTTGAAAATAGGAAAAAACTGAAATGGAGAGGGAGTTTAAAGTATTATCTCACAGAGCAACACAGGCAAAGATACACAATTGCGCATTGTACAGCTGGTAGGTTATACAAAAACTCAAAGCCCCAACAAGTAGGATGAGGGGACGATCCCCCATTCCTGTCAATTTCTTAAAACTCAACAGCCCAGAGAAGCACCAACTTTGTCCTGGAGCGCGTTGCCTGGGCCCGTACATAGGTTATCAGCATTCTACAGAATGTTCTCAAGCACAGTACAGAGGTAACTACACTTGTCTTAACAAATGCAGTTTAACACCTTGACGTGCACCTGGGTACTTGTGTAATCATTTCTTTATGAGCAGTTGAAAAATACTTTACATATAAATTTCACAGTTCACTATTCTGTCATCTAAGAAGCATGACCACAATCCATTGTTAAAATCTTTGTTCTGGTTTTTGGAAAGCTAAGGATGACATAAAAAAAAGAAAGGCCTCTGAGCAAGAAGATGAAAAGGACACAAAGAAAATGACAATTGAGCCCAGGTCTCTGATTGACAGGCATGCTGATATATGCATACCCACAGTGCGGGATCTCAACAGAGATGTTCTCAAATGAAGTACATATACTTATATGCAAATTACTTACGAGTGTATTTGGGTTTTGAAATCCCCGTACTAATATATTCAGATAACTTTAATGACTTGCCTTTACTCTCTGTTTGAGGAATAACTACAGGTTATTCAGTTACATCGCGTGTTAGTACTTTAGTCCCTTCTATATTCATTGTGTGTGATATTGATAGAAAGCAGGATGGCTTAGAGATCATCCCTCTGCTTTGACTGGCGTTTCTGTTTGTTTTTAACTGCAAGGTTTCTACTGAGGGGATGGAAGGTACTGGAAAGGCCTCAGGGTCTTTTCCTCCTGCTCCCCTATCTTGTTGAAGAAGAGAGGCATCGGAGAAGCTGGGCCTAAGAAGGCTCCTTCTCGAACTCTCCTTCACCAAGACATCATTCAGAATGGCCACCAAGAAATGAATAAGCCATCCTATTTCAATAGTATGATCCTTAACTGACTCCTTCTCTTCTGCTTAAAATATCCTTGGGACACCTATAAAACCACTTCCTTTTTATTAAAAAAAAAAGTTAGCTTTCCACTTTAGCCATAGGATAATTAACAGAACATTTCTTTAGAACAGGAAATCAAACAGAAATAAAATTTTCAAAAATATTTGTAAAAGTATTATTTGGTAACACTTTATATTTGATACTTTAATCCAGCACTTAATGGTAGCAATTAATTTAATATACATGTATTCTCATGCTGGAAAACCAAATCGGGAACCCTCCAAAAATTTTGTTAGGAGGTCAGAGTGCAGCATTTAAATTTCCCAACAACAGAGTGAAATGTGTTTAGTCTCAACCTTCAAATTCAGCAGTTTGGAAAATTGAGGTTCATGGTGAGGAGAGACGATTTGAAAGCCTGCTGAATCTGAAAGCGTGGATTATGTATTGCTCTGAAAGTCCAATTAGTTGTACTAAATACAACCTGCAATCCTAGCAGTTACGTAGCATTTTGGGGGTAATCGCAAAAATACGTAGGAAAAGTCATTCATACACACTTTGTCATTTCACAAAGTCTTTTGCATGTGTCCATTTCAACAAGAAGTCTGAGTTCCTATAATGGCATCACTTTGCACGGTTGATTTGTCTTTTGCCATAACGTTGTAATGTTGTTTTTTTTTCTCTCGGTATTATGTTTTGAATTTATGGAAGAAAGGTACAGTCAAGCAGATATACAGGGAAAACTTACATCTAGAAGCAAATATGCCAGCCCTTCTCCTGTAAACATACATAGAGACAGAATTGTCAACTATCCAGATTTCCAAACAAATAAACATAGCTTCCTGCCAAAGTGTTATACAATTCAAAACATACGAAAGCTCTTTTAGCATTTAATTATGTTGCCATACTCATTGATTGGGTTTATAACATGTTGAGCAAATGAAATCTTACAATTAAACATTTAAAAAATACAGATATGCTAGGTGAAGTTATACTGGACAATATTCGAGGAGGCAATGTAATTTTCTGCCACTCCAACAATAAATACCAACTCACATATTCTGTAAATGATACTGAAAGTGTACTTTTTCAAATTATTTCTTGTCCCATTTAATGTCCTGAAACAGCTGAATATTTTATTTCCTCCTTTAAGATCTTTCTGCCGTGAACAGCATTTTATTATGATGTAGAATATTTTGAGGATTTCAAACTAGCTATGAAACCAATGCAACTTGAGATGACTCTCAAATGGCAAAGGAAGCTGTTCCACATTCTCCCATAAAGATAGCATTTATCAATCAGCAATACAACAACTATGTGCTAAGGAATCAATAAGGAGCAGACTGAGCTGTTGTTTCCTCAGAGTTGGCCTAAGTCACAAAGTAAAAAGAGTTCTACGTGATTCATCATACTTGTGCAAAGAACCACAACTCTTTGACTGTCCAAGCTACAGAGGCTATTTTCAAAAACATTAATATCTCTACCAAGCCTCGGTTAGAACTGAAACAGGATTCTTCTTGGAATCAGAATGAAATAGGAGAAGTCAAACCCTAACCCTAAAACATATTGCCCGTGAATTATGGAAATAGAATTATGGAAATAGAGCGTTAGTGTTTTCTTTACAGACTTAGAGGAGGGGGTCCCTTGGGGCCCGAGATCGGGACAGCACTTTTGCCCACGCACTAAACCAGAGTTTTCGAGGATTATCAGAGAAGCTCGACCAACTCCCTACCTTGCCGGCGAATCTTCTGGGCTATCATCAGCCATCACGTCCAAATCTCGTGAGGGTTTCTCCGAAGCTCTTTGGCCAAAATTCTCCTCTGGAGCCGCTTTAGGAGTATCTTCATTGGCCCGAAGGTGTTCTATCAGGTTCTGGGGATGCCAATTCTGGAGAGGTCTCTGATGGGCAGGGGCTGGCCCTGGCACGGGCGCCAGTAAGTTGTGGTGGACGGGACTGTTGCTTTTCTTCAGTCCATTTCTGTCCCGAGAGTGGTTCTTCAACCTGCCCTGAACCGGGGTCCCTCTATGCTCATATCCTTCCTGCTGAAGGCAGTTTCCAGGGCTGGGAGAGCCGGCAGAAGGATGGCTGAACCACCTCCAGCGCAGCCGTAGGATCTGTTTCACATCAAACTCTTTCTTGCCAGACATTGACATCGTTGCGGGAGGAAAGACAAAAGCCTTCTCTCACAGAAAGGAAACGGAGCCTTTGTTATCTCTTGTTGCTCTGCCTCTTCTGTTGAACTAACAAAAGCACAGGGGCGTTAGAGTGGCCTTTCTTGTTTCCCCCCCTCCCTCCCCCCCTCCCCCGCTGCCTGCCGCCCGCGCTGCACCGGGAATAAATACTTCCAGCTTTCTAGCTGCAAAGCGGCAGCGAGCAGTGTAGGTGAGAACCCATGCAGACAGGATGATGAGGTCAGACCTCAAACAAGTAAATCAGCTTACACAGGAAAGCCGCTACCACAACACACTCCAGCTGCTGGATGTGCGCACAGCCTTCCCTCCTGGACTTGCAAATATCTACCCCAGCTTCCTCCTTCCCCAAGTACAGTAGCTGAGCCTGAAACCCGGGCAGGCGTGCGAGCAGAAGCGAAGTGTTCAAACTCACTTCCTTCTAAGCTCCCGGCACTCACTGCCCGCCCCACCCCGCGTCCCCACCCCCCACCCCCGCCCCCGCCGGCCAGATTCTTTTTCCAGCAGCTCACTTGTAAAACTGTGCCACTTTGTCCTGGGAGAATTTGTAACAACGAATTCATTATGATCTATTTTAGGGGACTTCTGGAAATGTTGAAGGTGTTTTATGAAGGAAAGGCGTCAGTCCCCTCATGCGGCTTTGTCATTATTTTCACAAAACATCTGAAAATGTGAATGTCCTCGTATAAATATTTGCTTGAAATCCTGAACGCTTTTAGAAATATAAGAAACTGTTGGTTACCCAAGACCACATCCCCCTACATGCACTAGGGGATGTATTAAAGGTATTTTGTGGCTGAAGATGAAGGAAGAAAGCAGTGTATTTCTAAGCTCGGTAGCTTAGAAGAGATGTCTTCTTTCAGTGACCAAAGCTTGAAAATGAGTCCGATGCCTGCATACATATCACCTTATCAGGCTCCTTACTTTGACAGACAATGTTAAAGGTCTATGTTTTTTTCTTCTTTTTGGCTCAGAATTTCATGAGAGGATGCAAAGCGACAGGTTTTGAATTAACTCCAAACTGACACATACCTCAGTAATAGGTGTGCACAATGCACTTCGAGATCCGAATGAAAATCGCCACGAGCACAGATGTAGATACGTCTACAACACTCACGTATCAGGAATGCATCTGCCAATGCCGCCTCAAAACTTAGTTTGAACTTTAGCCACCTTCTATGCCATGCATATGGGTGATAAAGGACCCATTGCATCAGTGTATCTTTAGAAAGAATATTGAAACTGTAAGGTTTTGGGTTGAATTCTGGCTTCAGGCTGAACAGATCTCCCAAATTTCCACTTGCAATGCACTTTAAAAACTTGGCAACAGAGAAGGAAGTACACATCCCATTCTCAGTTTTGGTAGCCATTTTGCATGCAGCTTTCTGTAAATTGAATTATACCTTCCTCTTAGACCGTCTCTTGTTTTGTAGGTGTAATGGATAATTAATATCTCAACATGACTGGGCTATAAGGAGCCTAGCTATTTGGTCAAACATTATTTTGGGTGTTTCTGTGAGACTGTCTTTGGATAAGTCGACCATTTCAATACATAGACTGAATCAAGTAGATAATCCTCCCTAACGTCCACGTGACTGAAGGCTTCAATAAACAGAAAGCTGATGCTTCCCTTGGTCAGAACGAATTCCTGAGGCCTGGCTGCCTTCAATCCAAGGCACCAGTTTTTTTTCCTGGCTTCAGCCTTAAATGTTAATATTGGCTCTTCGAGGTCCCCAACTTGCTGGCGGCACATCCTGAGACTTGTCGGCCTCCCGAATCATGTGATCCAATTCCTTCTCCTAAAACTACCTCTCTTCCTCTTGTTTCTCTCTCTTTCTCTGGAGAGCCGTGACTGACACACGAGGTTTCTTTCTAACCCTGAAAAATTAATAAATGCACACTAGGAGATGTAGAATTGATTTTTATACCAGTTGCAAACAAGCTACTTCCTATTTCACATTTTCAACCGATTTCCCAGCAAGCTTCTTAGTCCTCAGTGTTAGCATCTGTTATCGTCTCTCCTTGGTGACTGGGTTGTCCATTTCCGGCACTTAGCATGGAAACAATTGGCAAGGACGTCACACAGTTGTTCTGATGAGCCCCAGGCAGATCATTAAAGTACTGGCAGCAAAGTGTGAATTGCCTGTTATCTGGGTAGGTAGCATTCCAAGTAAACTCCTTGAAGTCAAGATCTGTGTTTTAGACCTTGGGGCTCTGCACTGTGCTCAAATATACTATGGTGGACACTGAGCAAGCACACTGTAAATAGCAGTCATGAGACAGGACAGTGAGAGGCTAGGGACATCCCCAGGCAGGCGGCAGAGGGACACTGAGGCGGAGAGCGGAACCCAGGGGCCGAGCCATGGACGGCCAGGTGCCGGGGGTCACGGCGCGGACGCCCCCGGGCCTGCCAGGGGCCAAGCCCGGGAACACGAGGCCCTCGCCCCGGGGTGACCTGCCTGCCCGGGCCTTTCCCCCGGAGACGACACCCGGGCCCGGCGTGTTTCAGCTCCAGGCCCGGAAAAGCAGCAAAGCCAGGTGGGCGTCGCCAGGACCCGCTGCGACGGCCGAGACCCTTCCCCATCCTGCCACTGACCCGTCGCGGGGTGTGGGGACCGGGGCGCTGACAGGGCGCGCCCGGAGCGGACCGGGGTTCTGCTGAAGCCCCCTGAGCCCCCTCCGATTCCCGCCCGAGAGAGAGAGAGAGAGAGAGAGAGAGAGAGAGAGAGAGAGAGAGAGAGAGAGAGAGAGGCCCCAGGACGGAGGGCCCAGCCCATCTGCGCTCCTCGTGGGGCGCAGGCCGTGCCACTCGGTGTCCCCTGCTGCCGTCCCCCCGCCTTCTCCCCTGGCGACAGGCGTCTCCTAAACGGTAAGGCAGTGGGCGGCGACGGCTTGTCCCGGGGCGACCCCCTGCTCCCGGCCCGAAGGCCCCCTTTTCTGGGACTTCCCCGGGGGCTAAGGCAGCCCAGCCGGGACTGCCTCCTGCGGCCTCTTCTACCCCAGGGCCTTCCTTGTCTCCCTGCCCCCAGCTTTACTAGGGGTGTCCTCACGGTCACCTGCACTCGTGCTGAGCAATCTTTCCTACAGGAAGTCAGGCCCCCATCCGAAAACAGAATAAATAGAGGTACAAATAACATGTCCTACGCACAAGAAGAATAACTATATTGGTCATCTAAGTAGCTCTAAATCTCTTCTTGGGCACCAACAGTCTGCATTCTTTTTCTAATATAAGCCCCTGAGCTGATTACAATTCAGATATCATTGTGTGTTTCCTTGTGTACTGTTACAGTAAGGTGAGTGCTAACTGATTCTTGTAAAAATCTGAACATCGAGAGCACAGTACTCTGTGTGATTTTACTGACAATGTGCTCTTGAACAGTAGGCAGAGCATGGACATTTTTCTGGATCTTGTACACGGAATTGCAGAATGATTAAGAGAGTATACGCATCTAGAAAATCGAAAAGAACAATATTCTATGAAACATGAGGGTTTCTCTTAAGTTTCTGGCTATAAAAGAAAGATGCAAGCATAGTTTAACAGAAATAAAGAAGAGGGAGGAACAACATCTTATTCATCTTTTCTCTCCCATGGCCTTATTATCTACTTGAAATCAAGTAACTCTTTAATATTGTGTAGAACTCATGAACAAATTCTAAGTGAATTTATTATCACACGAATATATTGTGTCAGTAAGTGCTAGTCTATTTTCTTACATTTTTTTAAAGTATAGCGGGCATATAATATGATATTTGTTTTAGGTGTATGATATAATGATTTGACATTTATATACGTCATCACCACATCAAGTCTAGTAACCAAGCATCTGTCATCACACAGAGCTAATTATGACATTATTGCCTATGTTTCTTATGCTATACAGTACATCCCTGTCACTTAAAACCAAAAGGTTATACATTTTATTCCTCTTGACCTTTTTGACCTGTCCTCCCATCTCCTTATCCTCTGGTTTGTCCCTTAGTTTGTCCTCTGTATCTATGAGTCTGTTTCTATTATAAAATGAAACTGCAAAAATCGTTATGGGCTAAAATACTCCCCTAAATATTAATGGTTATACGGGTGGGGAGCAAACGTCTAAACCAGTTGAAAAAAATCCATCCTGGCAACCTAGCAGCTGTGTGTTCTCTCGATGTTATATTCTGAGTAAAATCCTGACCAGAAAATTAAAATACTCAGTTACTAGGACACCTCAGAATGTAATGCTATTCAAATGTACGTAGGAATGCTTTTTTTCCTGTATTTATCTGATTATATGACTTGAAGAAAAATGACATAATCATAGACATCTGTATATTAAAAGCTGCACCTCAACAACTTACCTAGTCCTGAGGTGGAACTATTCAATTGACACAAACTACACTGGACAGCATTAAAACATTAAGGGAAAAAAAAAAAAGCAGTACAGGCAGGTCTGGCTGGTGTGACTCAGTGGATTGAGCACCGACCTGCAAACCAAAGGGTCGCCGGTTCGATTCCCAGGCAGGGCACAGGCCTGGGTTGTGGGCCAGGTCTCCAGTAGGGGGCGTGCAAGAGGCAGCCACACATGAATGTTTCCCTCTCTTTCTCCCTCTGTTCCCCTCTCTAAAAATAAATAAATAAAACCTTTAAAGAAATTTTCAAAAAGCAAAGCAGTTATATCTCAGAAAGAGTGCTTATTTGATTCTTCTCAATACCTTGCTTCAGCTTCTGCATTTGTACTTGGTGTCTCACTTTGCACTTTTACAATATCATGAAGCCGGCTTCTTCCCGAAAACCTCATGAACCCAACTGTTTCAGCTTCCAACTTTCCTTCTGTAGCTTCCTCTCTCCTCTCAATTTCATAGAATCGAAGAGTCCAGATTAGGTTTTGGTTTAAGGGAATGTTGTGGCGGGTTGGATTGCCTATCCAGGCCACTAAAACTCCCTCCATATCAGCAATGAGTCTGTTTCACTTTCTTATCATTTGTGTGGGCTCTGGAATAGCACTTGTAATTTCATTCAAGAACTTTCCTTCGCATTCATCACTTGGCTAACTGATTGGCACAAGAAGCCTAGCTTTTGGCCTATCTCAACTTTTGACATGCCTTCTTCACTAAATCATTTCTAGCTTTTAACTTAAATTCAGATATGTGCGACTTTTTCTTTTAGTTGAATACTTAGTTCATTGTAGGGTTACTCATTGGCCTAATTTCAGTATTGTTTTATCTGGGGAAAGAGAGAGGCCCAAGGGGAGGGAGAGCGATGGATGAATGGCCTGTGAGAGGTGCAGTCAGAACACGCAGAGCATTTATTGATTAAGTCCTCTGTCCTAAGAGCACGATTCTTGGCAGCCAGAAACAACTACAACAGTGACACCGAAGATCACCTATCACAGATCACCGTGATAAGTATAATAATAAT